AGTGTGTGTAAGTGTGTGTAAGTGTGTAACCCGCATAATAAGACATGACTACGGTATGATACGGAAACCGCATCATAATCAAGATCCGAAATAATATATCGGCGTACCTTGAGAATGAAAACTTGTAGGCGTGGTGCAGACACATCCAGTACTTGGAGGTGGGGAATGACTAAGCCGGACTACATGAGCAAGCTCAGGAACAAAAACTTGTAGGCGTGGTGCAGACGGAACCTATACTGTAAGGTTGGGAATAACTATGCCGGACTACACGACCATCTATGCTCCCACTGCAACTTGCAGGCAAACTGGAACACACACGATCAAATAGACACCACAAGACGGGGAAAGGAAAACAATAAGGCAAAAGACAAGGAGGCAACGACAACAAACTGCAGAAGGGCACAAGGACTGGGGGCCACAGGGGAGGTGGGAGGGCAGGCCATACATAAATGCAAAAAAACGAAGAAAAACAAAAAAAATGCAATCACAGAAAAATACCCCAAGCATAAGACATCAGGCAGCAACAAAAGACAATGGGTGGAAGGCACGGGGGAGGCGGGAGGGCAGACATCACTCAAACACAGAAAGCATGCAAAGCAAAAATACAAGTACCCAAAAGCAGCGAAGACCAAAAAAAATAAAAATAAAAAATAAAAAACCGATGATGACAAGATTGTTTCGTTGGAGTTGCACCGAATCATCAGGAGGCTGAACCCTCGACAATCTGCGGAATCCCCGTATTTGATGGTTTGGGTCATGAACCCTTTGACCCATGTTGAAGGCAGACTGTCCCCAAGCGGGACATAGCAGCGGGCAGCAACCCTGTGGAGCACCAGGCAACACAGTAGAGGCAGCCCAACTGCTTATCACCAAAGACGACTGCAAGGAACGACTAGGCAAGCGGACGAGCAGCTCGGCAACCATCCGGTGAAGCGCAAGGCAACATCAGCAAGGCGACCATACTACAAAGCACGCAAGCAAGTAAAGGACGCGGAAGGCCAACAGGGCAAGCAGACGAGCAGCTCGGCAACCGTGCAGTGAAGCACAAGGCACCACCAACAAGGCAATCAAACTACAAGGCATGCACACAAAGGACACTGAAGGCCGACAGAGCACACGGACAAGCAGCTCAGCAACCGTGCAGCGAAGCGCAAGGCACCGCCACAAGGCTACCAAACCACAAGGCACAAGAGCAAAAGACACGGGAGGCACGACCCGCGGGTAGGCGGCAAGGCAGCAGAGCAGCGAGGACGACCTGCAAAGCAAGCGGCACGGGCAGCAAGACCGCGGCAGAGCGCAGACAAGATAGTCTACACATCCAACACAGCGCAAAGCAGCACATGACCTACTCACATCACGATAGAACCCCGCAGACTGTTGGTTCCCACCACCCGCTGAGCCAGGGGGACACTACGACGACCATCCGTCATCACCTACAGGCAACACAAACATCCCGAACCGAGCGGCCCCCATAAGAGTGCAGTAGGCACTCCGAACGAGGAACCACTGACTGTTTGGCACTACTTAAGGGTGCTCAATTGGGCACACAAAACATACTTAGAAAAAGTCAAGGGGAGGACAGACAACAAAAGAAAAAAGGCCAATAGACATAAAACTGATTGTGTGTGTGTGTGTGTGTGTGTGTGTGTGTGTGAGAGAGAGAGAGAGAGAGAGAGAGAGAGAGAGAGAGAGAGAGAGAGAGAGAGAGAGAGAGAGAGAGAGAGAGAGAGAGAGAGAGAGAGAGAGAGAGAGAGAGAGAGAGAGAGAGTGCGTTGCCATCTAGTCCACTCCTCACCTCTCTCCCTCCAACATGCCGCATTGCCAGCCATGTAAGTGGTCTGAGGGTCAGAATTGGCAGTTACTTTTGGAATTATTTCTGGATTGTGAAACGGTCTCACCCAGGTTGCGTGATAGTGCAGATCCCATGTCTTGATCCCTGGACCTACCCGTAGCCCTGTACAGCTACCCGTAGACCCCGTGAGCATCGAACCCGCGGCCTGTCCCTAAAACATCATAGGTTAGTGCTTTGTGCATTAATTGGGTCGTCGGGACCAAAGTTGACCAGCGTTGACCGGAGTTGACCGGTGAGGTCGACCAGACGATTGACCGGCGTTGATTGGCGAGCGTTGGCTATTCCGTTGACCAAGATGGAGTGCGGAGCGAGGAGCGGTATAACCCCTTCAAGCCCTAGCCCTTATCCCTATGCCATGTGGATGATGCACACTCACCTTGGTACTTGCTGAGAATCAGTTGTCATCTCTTTCTGC